CTCCGCCGACGAATGGCAACGCCCGGATTACTTCCTCCAATCTTGGATCTAGGGCACCATAACCGAGGACCTCTCAAGCATGGTCCTCTCTAAAACCGCAAAGGCTCATGATCTGTGGAAGGCCCTCGCCTCTCTCTTTACAGACAACGAAGACTATCGGGCCATCCAACTCGAAGAACAGTTCAAGTCCCTCAAGAAAGGATCTCTTTCGATCCATGACTATTGTCAACTTCTCAAAACCACTGCCGACAACTTGGCAGACGTCGGCAACCCCGTGTCAGACAAGCAACTCGTCCTCCAAACCCTCCACGGTCTACTTGATGATATTAATGAGGCAGTAATACTTGATGATCGAGATTATTATTACGGTGATGAAGAGGAAAAACGAGGGTGGATAAAGTATTTATCTTTCGGTTATTCGAATTCCGGGATGTGGATTTTGGTGCAGCTGAGTTGGAGGTTTTTGCTGAGTTTGATCATTGCTTTGTTTGTTTTCTATATTGCTGCTAAGCCTCCCCCTCCTAACATCTTTATTAAGGTTCGTACATATATACTTGTGTTTATTTTTATCTCTATCTATATCATTATGGGGAAATTTACAGTTTTCACCCCTCAAATTTGTAATGATTTCACATTTGATCCTCTATGTTTTCACAAAAAACACATTTGGTCCCTCATGCATGTTTCAATAATTTGACACTTTTGGTCATTTCCGTCAATTCACCGTTAGTCCGTCAGTTACAATAGTGATAGGCACACGTTTAATTCCGTTAGTTTTAACGGAAAATTGACGGAAATAACTAAAATGTTGGTTTTTTTAAACATTAAGAACCAAATGTGTTTTTTTGTGAACACGGAGGATCAAATGTGAAATCGGTGCAAACTTGAGGGATGAAAATTGTATTTTTTTCCTATATTTTTTTTTAATTGACGCACAGATTTTGGTCACTCTTTAAATTAATTTGCACAACTAAATAGCATGCATCAGGTTCAAGCGTAAAATCTATCGAAAAATATGAATATTCCTCTCAAAATTTCAAAAATTTCTTCAGTCCGACTTTATGATCCTCTCCAAATTCAAAAAAACTCGTGATATGAACGATTAATGATGGGGAAAATTACACTTTTCGACCCTCGAGTTTTCCTAGATTTCACATTTAGTCCCTCGTGTTTCAATAATTTAACACTTTCCGTTCTTCTCGTTAATATTTCGTTAGTACTAATGGAATCAAGCATGTGTCCGTCACTCTCATAACTGACGAACTAACGGTAAATTGACGGAAATGATCATAAGTGTCAAATTGTAGAAACATGAGGGACCAAATGTGTTTTTTGTGAACATAAAAGACCAAATGTAAAACTGGTACAAACTTGAGGAATGGAAACTATAATTTTCCCATTAATGATGTGCTATTATGATAAAATGTTATTGTTGAAAAGTTGCAGGAAATAAATTCGATAGAAAAATGACGGGGTGATCGTGTTATATTTTGGAGAAAAAAAAATAATTATTAAAGACAAGCGAATTAGTATACTAAAAAACGTTCGATTTTATCAAGTCTCTAGTCATAATTTCAATCGACTCAAATTGAATTTTAAATAAAAATATAAAGATCGTCTAGCAGTTGGACCAAGTGAGCATGTGTCAATTGACCTAAATATGATTTGCAAACTATTATACGAAATTGTAGATTTACCAAGTACACATATATGGTTGGCTATTGGTTGCTACGTTAAAAAAAAATAATAAAAAAAATGGTGGTCATCATTAATTAATTAATAAATGTGCAGATTGGAGGAATTGGAGGGTTCAGATTAGCCGAGGGAGTGGACGGCTCTGGTGCATCGACGAAAATATTAAGCTGCAATTGTTCAATTGATTTAATAATAGAAAATAAGTCCAAGCTATTTGGTCTTCACATCAATCCTCCATTCATTCAATTACTTTTTGGCCATCTCCCTTTTGCAGTGTCATAGGTCAGCAATTTGTTATATTGTGTTTCCCATTTTTATTTTTCCATTGTCAAATTCAAATTTCATTACACATAGGAAACAAAAATTCATTGTGTTTTACTATCCTTATTTAGTTTAATTACAAAACAAATCCCTATTTTCAAGAAATTACATTTAACCCTCATGAGATTCTTTAAAAAAAATAAAATTTACCCCTCGGGAGGCAAATTGTAAAGTTTAAAATTTAAAGGGGGATTTCAAACCATTTTTTTAAGAGTTATTTAATATGGTCGTTTCGAACTCTTTAAATTTGTCATTTAAAATTTTATGGTTTTAAAAAAATTAAAAATCAAATATTGGGTTCG